TTTCCTTTATTTTATTTTATTTTTCCATCAGCAATCAACATACATGCTTCTTTAATTAATTATTCTATTCTATTATTCTATTTTATGAAATTTATTTTATTGTACAACTAGAAAATACCTTTTTAAAATTTTTGAGGGAGAACTTTGCCGCCCTTGTGGTCCTACCCGGCTCGATTCCGGATTAATCAGTGATCCGGAAACCGGAAGGTCCTTGTACCAAAAAAAATACCTTTTTAATAGTGTTTAAAATCTATAACATAATTAACCACAAGTTGTTGTAATTATTAAATACGATATGTATAAGTTTTTGGTTAGTAAACTTTAACTAAATAATTAATATATTAAATTAAAGAATTATGTTTGTTATACATAAAATTGGCATTCAATTGGGCTGGGTCATTAAGGCTGAGAAGTGTACACACCATACGCGTTAAGAAATGAGCATAGATTATGGAAAGGAACACCTCGAGAAACTCAATTGTCAAGAGCATGTCGATCCACATCTGTACTGGACGTCGATCTGTCCTTATTCCTTCTCCATGAAGATTGTCGATCGCTCTATCGTATGAGTGAGAGTTGGCGAAGCAGACTATTAAAGCGACTGCTTAGCCGATCTCATCATTAAAATAAGAGTTTTTGCATGTGGGCTCCCCTACACCCTTAGTTGGCTCGTGTTGGCACTCGAGTTGAATTGGGAAGATCTAGAATTAAATACGATCGCTACACAAAGGAATAGCATTGTTGAGCGCTCTGATGGGGGAATCGCGTGTGAAAACAAACCTCAAAAGTATGAATGCCTCGAGACCGAGCAAACAGTAGGCAATAGGCAGGACGCGTAGGTCAGATAACTCTATGCGTAATGACGACCTGGAAACTGCTAAAACAGCATACAGCTGTTGGGTTTTTACTTCAACTAACGGAACCTTAGCCATTGTATGGAGTTTTTATTTGTTCCTTCCTTACCAACAATAAGAACACCCTCGGATGCAATGAGTATAAAATTCAAGCACAATATAAACTTATGCACATCTATATAGCCTCAAACTGTTAAGCGCATTATGTGCAGAGAATCAAAATCATAAAGATGGCACCTCAGTATGGGTTTATTGGAACAACATTGTGAGTTGTCCTACATTTTTAATAAATATGGAAATGAATATAGTTTATAAGCTCGATGAGCTACATCTCTCATTACTAATTAGTTTTAGAATGCAACCTCAATAATGTGGCAACTAGGCTCGCCCTCTGAAGGTGTATTTCACTTTTGTGGGACCGCACACTTACCGACTATATAAATCTAACAGGTTATCAGAACAATTAGCAAGCAAATTATTGATTCCAAGAGTGCTCATGCACACATCACCTTTTCACAAGTACATGCAAGTTCGGAATTAAAAGTACTTGCAATTAGGAATCGAACACACAATTTCAGCAAGCTCTTAAAATGTCAGTATTTCACTTGTATTCTATTTTATGTATCACTTAATCTTTTAAATTTAAACCTTTTTATCGGTTAATTTTCACTTGTATTTTGTTTATAATCCAATGCGCTTGTTGTTATTGTTTTCTTTAATATAAGGATGAACTAAGATAGAGAACTCTCTTTTCTTAAGAAAATTAAAGCATTGATAAATACATCATCCCTAAAAGCCTCAAAGGGAAAGAGCGTTCAACCCACAGTTATACATAATCACTATCCATTAACTAAACAATGTGGGTGAGACATAAATTTCCACCACCTATCTTCACACGTCATGTACAAATAGGTTGGGTCCAATTAAAAATCGCCTCTAAACAAATATACATGGATATTATGATACCATGATACATGAGCCTAGTCTTAAACCATGTGCCTCGGCATTAGCCGGTAGTTTGTATACTGAAAGTTTTGTTTTGTTTGAACTTATTTAGTGAGAATCATTAAGTTGGTCTGTGAAGATGCGTTGTTAGGTGCTCCATTTTATTTTCCCATTGAGGCCGAACCTAAACCTGTGCTCGCCTCCAAACAAATATACATGGATATTATGATACCCATGATACATGAGCCTAGTCTTAAACCATGTGTCTCGGCATTAGCCGGTAGTTTGTATACTGAAAGTTTTGCTTTGTTTGAACTTATTTAGTGAGAATCATGTTTGGTTCTTGGTCTGTGAAGATGCATTGTTAGGTGCTCCATTTTATTTTCCCATTGAGGCCGAACCTAAACTTGTGCTCGCCTCCAAACAAATATACATGGATATTATGATACCCATGATACATGAGCCTAGTCTTAAACCATGTGCCTCGGCATTAGCCGGTAGTTTGTATACTGAAAGTTTTGTTTTGTTTGAACTTATTTAGTGAGAATCATGTTTGGTCAAAAGTGTTTGCATTTTATTTGTATATGGTAATGCAAATTGTCCATTTAATTTATATTGTAGATAACATGGTGGTTGGTGTTACATGAAAATCATTTATCGGTTTCTTTTAAAATATAAACATGATTCACAACCAAAAGAGAAAGGATAAATTATAGGGATGGTTGTTAAATAATAAGTACGGAGGCCAAAATCACGTTACAACGACCATCGTGGTTGTTTATGGCACCGCCATAACTGTCATCCTTCGCAAATTTAGCATGACAATTTGTCGAAAACCTGCCATGCCATTTCTACCGTTGTAGCCATTTGATAACACACCAAGTATTATTTGGAATTAGTTTGTCTTAACTAATGATAAGAAGCAAAGAAGATGAATACTAAAAATAAGAAAATAAGAAGAATATTAAAGGTATGTCTTCTACTTTCTTGCATATTTAATTATTGTAATGATATTAGGTTGAGAATAATATATCAAATTGTTCGTTTGAACTCATAGATTTTAAGAATCTTGACAATTTCAAGAACCAGTGTCTGGAAGGACACGAATGGGGCCACGAACGGTATGTTTGGGCGACCCCGAATCTGACGTCGGGCTACCAAAAATTTATAAAATTTATACCATATATATGAATCTCTTTGTTCCTAGGATCACATTAGTTAATTTTTTTTCGAGGTGTCGAATATAGGTAACGAGTTGTGTATATGTGTATTTGTCGTTGTGCACAATTTGATCGGTATTATATTGTTTGACCTTCGAGTTTTGGTTATTTATGCTTGATATCTTCATAAAACATATTATCATCTTATCTTTTTATAGGAAAAAAATTTTATAAGTATCTATTTTATACAAAAGGTTACATTTAAAATACATTAATCGCACAAGTCTGTTTTGTGCTAAACATGATTGTGTTCGGTATAATGGTTGACGAGACTTTTTCATAAATATAACATTTTATTTGATTTTAGTGTCTTCATGAAAGTTGTGGATTATCCATAAATATATATATTTATGGCATGTTACATGTAATAATTGCATTTTAATATCATTTCTTATTATAACCATTGAATTGTAAATGTATTTTAAAAGTTAATATCTTTTGTATTTTTTATCACTTTCACATATATATTATATCAAATTAATCATCTCTTGATAAACTTCGATTTAACATCCATATTGTATGTATAAGAAAATAAATTATATTTATCTTTATAACAATAGTAATTTTTATAATATTAATTAAAATTATAAAATTATTTATCATTTAATATATTTATATTTCAAGTAGTTATATGATATAAGTTATAAAAATTACTATAATCAACACATGTAAGTCGCACAAGTAATAAGTGTCATTCTAAAATATATAATAACATATATTTTTTGTAAAAAAATAAATAAAATTTTAAAACAAATTTATCATTAATTTTAAAATTTAAGAATAATTCTTAACAAGCACCCGTGCAATACACGGGTGCTGTACTACTTACAAATTATAAATATATTTTGTTAATTGGTATACCTTTTATACACCACAAGCAATAACTATCATATTCTCTCATTATTTAGAAAATATAAATAAAATTTTCTTAATTAGTATTTTTTTACTTTGGTGAGAACAACACATCATAGCAAAATTGTAATTATCATGGTTTAGAAAATCACGGTCCGATCAGTTGGATCAGGAAACGGTCAGTTTACAATTCCGGTTCGTTGGAATGAACCGGGTTGCCATCGAATCGGTCAACGACCGGTTGAACTGTCAGGACCCGATCAAAAACCGGTATGGTTGGACCAGTTTAAGCATGTCTATTTTATTTTAAATAAGTTTTAATATACTTTTAATATAAATAAAATAAACTTATATAAATACAATGAATATATATATAATTTAGGGGGAAAAAAAAATCATCCCAATACAAAGATACATTAAGTTTTTCACACCGCCCAATAAAAAGCTAAGTTTTTCACCCCAGAAAGTGCGAAGGTTATGTAAAAACTGTCGCATATTTATCGCATAACTGTCACATATGCGAAGGTTATGCGAAAAACTGTCGCATAACTATCGTATATCAATTGCATAACTGTCGCATATTTATCGCACAATGCCTTCGCACTTTAACTTTTTTTCACCCCAGAAAGTGCGGAGGATATGCGAATGTCTTCGCACTCTCAACTTTCGCACAATGCCATGGCGCAATTGTCGCATATTCATCGCACAATGTCTTTCGCACTTTTTGAGGGTGAAAAATTTAGTTTTTTATTGGACGGTGTGAAAAACTTAAGAAGACTTCAAAACAAGATGAAAATAACTATTTTCACTATAATTTATTATTGGTTAGTTTAAATGTTTGAATGTTTTAAATTGACTTAATATTAAATTAACATAATTTCACATATAAATTTTATTGTATAAATATTATATATATTTAAAAATATTAATAAATTAAATATCTGTCTAACTGGTTTAACCATGGTCCACCAGTAAACCATTGAGCCAATAAGTTGACCGGTTCCATAACCGGTTTACAAAATATAATATTTTTTATTTTCCCACAAAATTCCCTTCGTCGTCACTCTATCCACCGTCACCGGCTGCCGGCAACTGCCATACTTTTCTTCTTTCCCTTCCTTTTTTCTCTCCAAATCCTACACACATTGCTCACAATTTTTCTCAATCTCTCTCGTCGATCCCAATCTCAACACCCTGATTGTCTTTTGATCTCTGTCCAGCTGTTCTCAGTCCACTCCTAGCCGATCCATTTTCCGGCACCTACGGCGGGTCTTCGCCGGCCGAGGGGATAAAAACAGGGGATCCCAACAACCAAACGGCTCCTGAACTCATATTCTCATCTACACAGAGCTACTGCTATTTCACCAGCTGCAGAAGGGTTTACCACGTGCAAAATCCAGCCGTGATATCTCAGTTTCCTGCTGAAATCGAATGCCATGGCCGCGGTTTCAGTTAATCAGTTTTCTCAGTGCATCACTTGCCATGCTTGGAGCCCAGATCACTCGAGTAATGTGAATTCTTATGTGTTTATTGGTCTTGTTTGAATGATCCTAGGTAGTTGAATTGGTCGTAATATGCTATTCCTTGGATTGCAGTGATAGCGTTTTGTCCGAACAACAGCGAAGTGCATATCTATCAGCTTTTGGGAGGGAAGTGGGAGAAGATCCATGTTCTTCAAAACGTAAGCTTGCAGTGCTGGTTGTAGACTTGTAGTAGATAAAAAATCATTTCCTGAAATTACCATTACAACAATAAAGTTGAGCAATAGGGTGATATTTTTGCCTTGTTGGTTGTAGTAGATATGAAACCTATTGACTAGTTTTGTGCATATCAAAATTTGGCAAGTTATTGAGCTATGGATACAAATATAGGCATAGTTCATGTATCGTGGTTAGGATCAACACTCCAGGCAATGTAGGAAGAATATATGAGCAAGTTGTGTTGCCAGAGATTTCAAGAGTTGTCACCGAGCTGGTTTCATTCTCATATTGGTTTGAATTCTTGATATCCATATCTAATTCATTGTCTTGATTAATCTTTTCTTTGTTTTCTATTTGGTTACAGCATGATCAAATTGTTTCTGGACTACATTGGGGTGTAAGTTTTAACAGAATAGTTACTGTTGCTCATGATCGGAATTCGTAAGTGACTATGCATTTTGATTGATTTGGTTCACCAGATATCACTTATTTTTATCCTTTGTTTCATGATTCTTCAATTCTCTTAAGAGTCGTTGCCTGCAATTTAATTACTCACTTTTTATTGATATGCTGAGTTTATCTTTTGATAGTTACGTGTGGTCAAAAGAAGCATCAGAATGGGTGCCAACCCTTGTTATCCTTAGGCTGAATCGTGCGGCACTATGTGTTCAATGGAGTCCCAAAGGTATGAAATTCCATTAGAGTTGTGTGGTGTTTTATGTTTTTTGGTGCATGATGCAATGATTGACGTTTGTGCTTGATAATTCTATATATTTTCCATCTTCTGTTTTGTAAACAGGTATTCTAACACTTCTTGTTTTAATAAAAAAACAACTATTTGACTTGAAATTTACCAGATAATATGTTGGTCTTTCTTTCGTTTTAAATGAACTATGTGACAAATTTGATTTCGTCCTTTTAACTTTATCTTCATTCAGAAAACAAGTTTGCTGCTGGAAGTGGGGCTAAAACTGTCTGTATATGCTACTATGAGCAAGAGAATAATTGGTAAAATTTCTTAGGTCCTGTTTCTCCCACTTCTGTCAGCTATACTATTATTATATAAGACTTGGTGATATAATTTATTTGTAGAATTCAGGGCTATAAGTGTCTTTTGTATCTGTGCTCAACTCTTATTTGTATCTGTATGTTGTTATACTTCCCACAGGTGGGTGAGTAAAATTATAAGAAAGCGGCATGACTCTTCGTGACAAGTGTTGCCTGGCATCCTAATAATGTGAGTATGCAGTCTATTATCTCAACTTGTATATGTTGCTCGGTGCACGGTTACAATTGTTTCCAAATAACGTTTCCATATTAGAGGAACAAAACAAGATTGGTTTATATCTTGACATACATTCACCTGAACATTCAAATGTTTTGATGCCTATGTAAATATTTACTGAAAGGATGAGAAAACCTTATCGGCGAGCTAAAAGATACATCCTATTTACTGTAAGTATGTGTGTGTGTGTGTGTGTG